GCTCAGGGTCATGAAGGCAAACAGCAGGCGTCCTCCTATGACCCCTGACCGTGGGAGATACCGGAGTTAGAGGACCTGTGTGTGCTCTCCCGGCATGTGCTCCCGCTGTCACGCTCATCTGTGAGCAGGACGCTGAGGGTGGAGAAAACGCAGCAAGTCTTGAGCACTCGGCAGAGACAGACACGTGAGGCCCGGCCCACTCCGAGAAACGCCTGTGTCTGAAGATTCACATGCACTAATTTCTTTTTTCTTTTTTTTTTTTTCCTTTTTGTCTTTTTTCGTGACCAGTAACGGGATCGCAACCCTTGGTGTCGCGCCCGCACCGCGACCGGCAACGGGATCGCAACCCTCAGTGTCGCGCCCGCACCACGCTCAGCCAGTGAGCGGACCAGTCTCTATATGGGATCCGAACCCTCAGTGGGAGCGCTGCCGCGCTCCCAAGCGCCACACTCTACCGAGTGCGCCACCGGGCCGGCCCCACGTGCACTAATTTCTGATTCACTCGGTTTCCCACATGTGGCGTGACCGTTCTGGGGTGACTGCCACAATATCGCTGGCAAGTATACTCAGCAGGAATGAGGCGATTCCAGGGCTCGTTAAGAATGGATGCGTTTTTCCTTACCTTCCGCGGTGTTTTAGCCAAGAGGCTTTTGGTAAAGCCCCCCTGGATGGGGTTGACCGCCCGGGGCTCGGGTGGACGGGGCCAAAGCTCCCACGCGTCACTGGTTCACATTTTCCTGGTGCTTTTCCCTTCTAGGTAAACTTCCAAGGCCGGAACATCGAGCTTGTCAGAGTCCGGAACCCTTGGGGCCACGTTGAGTGGAACGGGTCCTGGAGCGACAGGTCAGTCCCCCGTCCCATCTTTCCAGCTGGCTTGTGGTCTGCCATCCTCCCGGGCCCTGTCCTGCCTCTGGGGAGCTGACTTCCTCCCCTTCCGTCCTCGGGCCCACCTTGCAGTCAGACTTGAATCTCAAAAGACTCTTACAACGACTCTATAACCTTCACCGAATTGTATTTATGGCGATGAATGTCTTACCTCCCCTGGTGACGTTTTATATCCCCACGACCCTGTGACAGTCTCTGTCTCCCCTTGTGAGTGGCTCCAGTCAGCAGTGTGCACGTGCGGAGGGGGGCGTGTGCACAATGGGTATTTTGGGTGTGGGAATCCCTGAAATGTCACCAAGTAGCTCAGTGTGGGGTTCTCTCTGATGGTCACTGACCACCGTCTGAGGCCCTGAGGGGAGACGTGGATGGGGTGCAGGACACTCATCAGCCACGGAGCAGTTAACCACGGCTGTCCACTTGGCCCCCGGCTGTAAAGAAAGGGCGGCCTTTCCGTATGTGTCCTGCACCCCCACCCCTGTCCCCCAGAAGGTGGCTCAGGTGACTGGGAGCTGGGGACATTTGGGCAGGTGCATGGCAGGGCCACCCAGAGCTGTGGCTCCTGCTTGGCCATCTCAGGCGTGCAGCCCTTCCCTGCCCCACCCATGGCCCACGGGTCTCTGGGGGGCCCTGAAGCTAGTCTAGAACTTGAGGAAAACTGAGCCAGTGTTTGTCCTCAGTCCAGACAAAGCCACCGGGTCATCAAACATCAGCATGTCGGTGGCTTTATTAGACAGATCCCAGTGTGAGGGCAGAGCACGCACACTGCTCAGACGGCCGTGTCCCCGTCAAGACTCTGGTCCTGTACTCCCTGGCCTGTCCCTGGCTTCACCTTCTCAGAGCTGAGGCCCTGGGAGGAGACAGATTCGGATCAGACAGATTTCAAAGGAGAGAAGAGATTGGACTTCCTCTCCTGGCAGACACGGAACGAACAGAGTCATAATGAGACAAAATCAACGAGACTGCACCATGTCCTAACACACGCAGTGCCCCTCGATTTTGAGACAACTGTCTAGAAGGAGAAAGGGCCGTTTCCCCCTTTTTCTGGAATTACACAGAGGGAGAAATAAGGTGCACTTTGATGGGGAGTCAAGGCTGGAAGGACGCTGGCCTCCCACCCACACAGCCGCAGGGGCCGCGGCCGCCCTGAGGTCCCGTGAGAGCTGAGGTGCCGTTTGGTGGGTCAGGCTGATGATCTGGGTGTGAGCCACTTAGAAGGTGATGGCTCGAAAGGCAGATGGTGGCTCTTGTTCCAGTCCTCCGACTCGGGCTCAGCTCCTGGAGGGAGGATCTGCAGGACGTGGAAGAAGCCACCACGTTGAGCGTAGCCCCACGGTGGCGGTCACTCCATACGAGCTATTCGCAGGTGGCTGTGGGGCTCGCAGCATGCACACCGAACGTGGGGTCCCCGCTCCTGAGTTTGGAGGCCACGGGCCCACCTGTGCCCTCTTTTATGTAGGACGGCCGTGCCCGCCTCACACAGCCCTGCCTGGCCTCCTGCGAGGTCACGCGGAGAAGGTGCCTGGCAAACGTAGGACATTATCATCGCTTTGCCAGGTGTCAGCTTATGACCTAGGAGGAGAGGCCAAGCAAGGCTGCAGGTGACACGGTGAGCTGGAGGCCAAGGACAGGAGCACGTCAGCCTGTGGCTTCCAGCTCGCCCTGCAGCTACCGTGGGCACTCAACTCCTTGTGATTGTCCCACGACAGTCTCCACCATAGGAGGTCCAGATGGCCCCGAGGGACCTGGTGGGCACGGCACTTGGTGGTGGGCTTTCTCAGCGGCCTCAGTGGGGCCAGTGGCTCTGCAGCCTCTGCCTCCCTGGGCGCACTTCTGGGGTGCAGAGAGCAGACACCGGGTGCACTTACTCCTGACATAACACACATGTGGGTGCTGGGGGGACCGTCCGTCTGCACCACGACCCCTGCCTAAGTGCCGGCTCTGTTTGCTCCTAGCTCTCCTGAGTGGCGTTCCATCTGCCCGGCTGAGCAGAAGCGTCTGTGTCACACCACTCTGGATGACGGGGAATTCTGGTACCGTGCCCGTCCCTGTTTTTACCTCTGTATTAACTGCATAACAGGCCCTGGGCGTAGGGAGCTCTCTCTCTCTCTCTCTCTCTCTCTCTCTCTCTCTCTGTCTTTCTCTCTCTCTCTCTTTTCCTTCCTTTGATAAATCAATTCCCTCTGTCTCAAACCCCTCATATCCACCCCAGTTGGCAGGGAATTAAACCTCAGTCGTGTTTTGATGGGGACTCACCCCTCTGTAGGTTTGTTTCGGAGTCTCCAGGGAGTTAGTTCAATTCAGAAAACGCGGGGCAGAGCCTCTGGTCTCCAGCTGTTCCTCCTCTGAGCCATCCGACCTCCTCTGAGCTGTCGGTCATCCAAGTTTGCACAGTGAATTTGAAGACAGGCAGCCCCGCGGCTCACAGGCCCAGTCCCTCCATGCCCAACTTGACCCCGGGGACCTTAGACGGCAGCTACCCTGAGAGCATCTAAAATTATAGACTTAAATGGGAAGGAAACATGTCTACACTGGACTTTCCACAGGGCTGAATCTCTGTTTAAGTAAAACTTTTTAATGGGCTTTTATCTTTGGAATCTTTTTAAAATGTTATTTCTTTCTGTTTGGGATCCAGAAGCAGATGGCTCTTCCAACCTTGCAAGAGCACAAATTTCCGATGTCCGTCTCTCTTCCCTCGTGTGCGCTCCAGCCAGTGAATTCTTGCCTGAGCTCATCGCTTCCTTATAACATTTAAAAAATAAAACAAACAAAAGCCGTGACACACCAATATTCCAGGTTTTTCCTTCTTTCCCCCAGAGCACAGCTGCAGTGGGCATTTGTCCTGCCTTGCATGTTTTGTTAGATGTCTTAGTCTGTTCAGGATGCTATGACAGAAAACATAGACCGGGCAGCTTATAAACACAGACATTTGTTGCTCACGGTTCTAGACGCTGGAAGTCCAAGATCAAGACATGGCAGATGCAGTGTCTGGTGAGGACCCCCTTCTGGTTCATAGACGGCACCTTCTCACTGTGTCCTCACAAGGTGGAAGGGGTGAGGGGGCTGTCTGGGGTCTCTTTATAAGGGCACTAATCCCCTTTATGGGGGCTCCACCCTCATGACCTAACCACCTTCCAAAGGCCCCACCTCCTAAGACCATGTCCTTGAGGATGAATTTCAACGTATGTGTGTGTGAGGGACACAAACTTTCAGACCAGAGCAATGGGCAATAGATGTATTAAATGTCTCACCACTGAGTAACATGGATATCTCCTTTCCAGCTCCAGTATTTCCATGTTCCCTCCTGCCCAACTGTTGAGCTGGTATCACATATTTCAGAGTTCTGTGACTGAGGGTAGCAGCAGCCGCTGTAACAAATAGGCTCCCAAACGTACAAAGACTCAAACATGGTAAAGTTTTTCTCACTTATCGTAACAGTCTGAGGAGGACGTTCTGATTCTGTGGATGGCCCTCTCCATGCAGTGACTCAGGGACCCAGGGTCCCTCTACTGTGTGTCTGCACCATCCTCCGGGGTCACATGGTCATTTGCATGCAGCCAATAGAAGAGAAAGGAAAAAGGAGAGTTGGAGAAGATGCCCCTACTTCCTGAAAGCCTTGACCCAGAGGTAACACACATCATCGCTCATACCCCACCCCTAAATAAATGGGGGGTGGGGTGCAGTGCCCTGTGCTGGTGGACACCAGCCATCTCTACCTCAGGAGCATGCAAGTCCCCCCAAATTTGTGAAAAACACACAAGCTGCTTGAGAGATCTACAAGCTGTCAAACTGGAAATTACAGACAGTTGCATACCTTGAATTTCGAGTGCAGAGAGGCCCCGGTTCACGAGTTACACAAGAAGAGCAAACCACAAGAGGAAAGAGGTCTGGAACTAGCGCCATCACGAGTTCCAAACACGAGGAGGGGCGGAAACCAGAGTCTGCGAGGATGTCCGAGGTCCAGCCCATGGGAGGAAGGTCTGGCGCAGAGGGAGAAGCTGGGTGGAGGAAACCTGAGATCCATAGTGCTCCATCGTCCTGCCCGTCACCAAGGAGCCACACCTGCCACCGCAGCCTGGCGCGGTAGGTGACATGTGGGTGAAGCCATCCGGCCTCTGCGGCGAGCCTTGCTCCGGGCATCTCGGTTCGGAAGCCTCTTGTGCTCCGCTCCCACGTCCATTCCGGCCGCGGGTCCTGGAGGTCTTGCCTGCAGAGCATGAGCACGTCTCGACCCCGCTGCTGCTCGGCACCTCCCGAGCTACCTGCGCGGACTGAGCACCCTCCTCTCAGCTGGATGACAGCTCTCACTCGCCACCTGTGCCGCCGCGGCCTGTTCTCAGCACAGCAGCCCTGCGCTCAGCACCTTCCACAGCTCTCCACCTTCTCAGAGGCAAAGCCACAGCCTGCTGCCTGCCTGACTCACGGCTGCCCGTGGATCTTACCCCTCTCTGACGCCTCGGGCCAGCCCCCGTGGCCTTCCTGGGGTCCCGTGAACACAGACAGCACCTGTCTGCCTCAGGCCGTTGCTCTCCATTTGCTTGGACCCCCAAGAGCAGCTCTGCCCCTGCTCCCGGGCTTCAGGTCCCACTAACAGCCCACCTGACCAGTGAGGGCTCCCGTACCCCGCTTAAAGCAGCTTCCCGCCCTGCACGCCCGTCCTTCAGCCTGGCCTCCTTCTTTCTCTAGCACGTATCGTGTGCAATCGACCTTTCTTGTATCTTTTTTCACCTCGCCTCTTTTCTTTAACCTTTTCTTGCTATTTTCTCCAGCTCCTCACCCCCAAACCCCCCTCACGTGTCCCCCACTTTATTGCAGGATGGCATTTAAGGACTTCAAGGCCCATTTCGACAAGGTAGAGATCTGCAACCTCACTCCCGATGCCCTGGAGGAGGACGCTCTTCATAAGTGGGAGGTGACCGTCCACCAGGGAAGCTGGGTGCGGGGCTCGACGGCTGGGGGCTGCCGCAATTTCCTGGGTAAGTGGTCTGCCTGTCACCCCCTGCCACCCCCACACATCCTGTCCAGCCCAGGGACAGCAAAGGACCAGGGAATGCCTGAAATGTGGAGTTAGACGGCAGGACTCCAGGGCGACTGGGTAAAGAAGGCTGCAGAGATTCAGGAGGAAGCTGGCTGAGGGTTGCTCAGGGAAACGCTCTTGTTTGACCAGTTAGTTTATTCTCCACCACGAATAATAGAAAACCCAACTCACTGCAGTCTGGCAGTAAAAAGGTTTACTGTCCTACACAATTGAAAGCTCAGAGGAGCAGAAGGGTGGCCTTCAGCACAGTGCCAGCAGGGCTCCGGCGCCACGCGTCAGTGAGTGTCTGCTCGGTCCTCTTTCCTGCGTTGGCCTCTCGCTCGGTCTGGCCTTCTCTGCGGTCACAGAAGGGCTTCCTGACACACGCAGCAAGAGCTCCTGGGCCCTCAAATGACAGTCCTCAACTCCCCTCCAACCGGGGAGTCCCTGAGCCATGCTGCCTGTGACTGCCGTGGACAGATGGGCTTTGTTCCAATTCTCTATGGTGGGAGGGACTGGCCTAGACCCATTGGAGTCGCCCCTCGGAGTGGGGGTGAGGTCACCCCTGCTCAAGTTGTGACAGCCACACGTCCACTGTACTCTTCTTTGAAATGCCAAGTGGGAAACTGGGCATGAGGCAAAGAAAGCAGGGGGAGCACCGATCGGAAGGGGCAGAGGAGGGATTGTTTTCTCATGTTTGGGAGGATTTGGGGTGTGTGTGTGTGTGTGTGTGTGTGTGTGTCCTCTTTGCGTTTTTTTTTTTTTAAGGAAGGGAAAATAGTCTGTCTCTTTCAAACGGCAGATACCTTTTGGACGAATCCACAAATAAAATTGTCCCTGACCGAGACAGACGAGGGGCAGAAGGAATGCACTTTCCTCGTAGCCCTGATGCAGAAAGATCGGAGGAAACTCAAGAGATTTGGCGCCGACATGCTGACCATCGGCTATGCCATTTATGAGGTGGGTGGGAGCCCAGCTGGGGGTCCATCGTCACCGTCCACATCCTAAATCATCAAGAGAGAGACTCAACGGCCTGTCCCCAAGCTGAGTCCACAGCCAAGACCAACGCACCCCCCCCTTCTCCCTGCAGTGGCCAGACAAAGGCAAACGCCTGGACAAAGACTTCTTCAGGTACCACGCTTCCCGGGCCAGAAGCAAAAGCTTCATCAACCTGAGAGAGGTGTCCGAGCGGTTCAAGCTGCCCCCTGGGGAATACGTCCTGATTCCCAGCACGTTTGAGCCTCATCAGGAAGCTGATTTCTGCCTGAGGATCTTTTCGGAGAAGAAAGCCATCACCCAGTGAGTCACTGGGACAGGTTCCAGAATCTCTGCTCATTTAGTGGTCCTGGAGCCACGACCCCACCCCTCCCTTCACCGTCTACCTGGGGGCTCATTTGCAAAGTGGGGCACATTTCTGTTTTAGCTCTGCTGTCCCCTTCCCTGAGCAAACTGTGAAAATGTCACTCTTAGTGACTGCTCCCAGAATCGTGCCCACAAGACCCTCTCAGGTGGAGCCCTTCCTGTTTCAGACCCCGTTACCAGGGAGCGTCTGGGCTGGGGCCACATGGAGGGATGCTAATTGATTTCTGGACACGATGCAAGGGTGGCTGTTGCAAATTTCAAAAACGACATGTTCCCTCAGCTCCGGTATAAAGAAATGTTGACACGTTGGCCGACCATTGTGCGTACCCAGCATCCTACACCTGTCTTAGCAAAATTCTTTTGTGCCAGTCACTTCTATGGAAAAGATTTCCCATTACCGCCCTATTTGCCGTTGGTTGCTCCATGGCAGAGGGAAAAACTGGTCCCCCATGGAATGAGATATTTACATCTTGGGGGAGTAGAGGGTGGGCATAAGGGACATAGCCCCAGGGGGTCTTTTTGATTCTGACTCAACTTACTCTGTCATCGTTTAAACCCCCGCCCCATGAGTAACCCTCACTAGGCTGAGTGACTGGTCCCCAGTGAACGTGTGCCTGTGTCCCCTTAGAGAAGCAGAGTGCATGGGGCAGTGTGTCGTGGAGCTGCTCCGTGCTCAGGTCTTTGGAGGCGCCGCTGCTCTACGTAGCGCTTCCACGTGGTGCCTGTTAAGGAGCATCGAGGAATTGGACTGGGGCTGGTCTAACCTCTCCCACTTCTGAAAGTCCAGAAGCTGCAAGCCCACCTCAGTGTGCCTGTCACTTGCATGCCGGGCAGGGCCTGAGGGACGGGGTGGGGGTCCACGCATGGGGTCTGCACAAGAGGACTTCATGGTCCAGCACCATCCGTAGCTCAGGGTCCCTTAGCCCTGCAGATCCCCGTGGGAGTTAATGCCCAGCTGAGGCAGCATCCCTTCCACCCCTGCAGGGAAATGGATGGACACGTAGACATTGCCCTTCCTCCGGTGAGTCCTCTGACGCTGCTCTGGAGGATGAGGTTCCTCTGATGGTTCTGGAAACCTTCCTTCTGACCATGGTGTCACTTAAAACTCTCAAGTTCAGGGAGTGGGTACTTGGGGGCAGGTAAGCGCCTGTGACTGTAACCCCTGGGGGCCAAGGCCTGTGCCTCTGGTCGTGGCCCAGCGGGACGTGTGGGAGCGAAGAGGGGCTTGGGACAAGCTCTGTTAAGTCACCTTCCTCTCTCTGCTGCCAGCTCCAACTGAGGCAGCTGCTGCTTCTGAAGGGGGGAATCTCTTAATAGTGTATTTTATTTTTTATTTTTATTTTTATTTTTNATGAGTAACCCTCACTAGGCTGAGTGACTGGTCCCCAGTGAACGTGTGCCTGTGTCCCCTTGGAGAAGCAGAGTGCATGGGGCAGTGTGTCGTGGAGCTGCTCCGTGCTCAGGTCCTTGGAGGCACCGCTGCTCTACGTAGCGCTTCCACGTGGTGCCTGTTAAGGAGCTTCGAGGAATTGGACTGGGGCTGGTCTAACCTCTCCCACTTCTGAAAGTCCAGAAGCTGCAAGCCCACCTCAGTGTGCCTGTCACTTGCATGCCGGGCAGGGCCTGAGGGACGGGGTGGGGGTCCACGAATGGGGTCTGCACAAGAGGGCTTCATGGTCCAGCACCATCCGTAGCTCAGGGTCCCTTAGCCGTGCAGATCCCCGTGGGAGTTAATGCCCAGCTGAGGCAGCATCCCTTCCACCCCTGCAGGGAAATGGATGGACACGTAGACATTGACCTTCCTCAGGTGAGTCCTCTGACGCTGCTCTGGAGGATGAGGTTCCGCTGATGGTTCTGGAAACCTTCCTTCTGACCATGGTGTCACTTAAAACTCTCAAGTTCAGGGAGTGGGTACTTGGGGGCAGGTAAGCGCCTGTGACTGTAACCCCCTGGGGGCCAAGGCCTGTGCCTCTGGTCGTGGCCCAGCGGGACGTGTGGGAGCGAAGAGGGGCTTGGGACAAGCTCTGCTAAGTCACCTTCCTCTCTCTGCTGCCAGCTCCAACTGAGGCAGCTGCTGCTTCTGAAGGGG